GGGGGGGTGATTTTGAAGCTGGAAGGGGTTCTTCGAGGTTAGGAGGTTTCAGGCCTAGTTTGGAGAGCGGAAGCGGGGTCTCTTGATTGTTTAGGTTGCTCTTGTTTGAATGGGTTTTATACGGACGATCGTAGCTCTATCAGGTTGGAGAAACGAGAGATCTAGCAGGGAAGCTGAAGAATCTGAAGGAGCATACGGTGCGTGAGTAGCAGCTACTATTGACAGAAACCCAAGACCTACTTCATCCAGCATATTAACTCAGAGTTAAAGTAAGGGTCAAGTCTCAAACCGTAGCTGGATTACAAACGAGCACATCTATATACAAACGCACCTCTACCCAAGACATTCTCCCTACCATGCAACCCACTCCCCTAACAATCCAGTGTATAATGTATAAACCACTTAATCCCGCCGATACCTCCCACCCCGCCAATGCACCCAAACCGTAGGCAGAACACTGACCCCGACAATCAACGCCACCACCACCCCGGAACTCTCCGCGATGCCGACACTCTCAAACAAATCCGTAAACCAAAACGGCCCGATAAACCCCCACGTCGACCTTACGAAATTAATGAAAACGCCCACGCTCCCCGCATCAGCCGGGTACGTATCCACGGCGTAGGTAATCATGACCGTGGTGACGACCTGATTCCCAAACGCGGCGATCGCCGTGCCCACCACCGGCACGACCGTCCATTTCCCCTGCTCCGCCTGCGCGGTACACACCAGGAACACCACCATCCCCGCCATCGTCACCAGGTACCCCACGTAACTCAGCCAGAGCCGGTACTCCGGCGCCGGCGGGTGGCCGCCCGTGCGTTTGGCGCGCAGGTTCATCCAGGTGTCCGACAGCACGCCGCCCAGCTGCTCGCCCAGGAGGGAGCCAATGATCAACCCCAGAAACTGGAGGCCGAGCTGCTGCGCGTTCAGCCCGAATTTCACCTGCAGCAGTTGCGGGACCTCGACGGAGTTCATCACCGACCCGAACAGGAACACCATGGCGTAGGCGACGGCCGCGATCAGGACGCGGAGGTTGGTGAACAGGGTGAGCGGGTGGTAGAACTCGGCCGCCCGGAAGGGGGTCGGGTCGATGCGGTGGAAGAGGGTGAGGTACTCGCGTTTGAAAGTGGACGTGGTTGACGAGTGCAGGTCGGTGCCGACGTAGCGCGTCTCGGGGCCGAAGGGGAGGTAGAGGATGAATTCGACGGCGTTGGTCTGGAGGAACGGTCAGTGGGAGATAGGTTGGGGGGAGGCAAGGCTCGCTTACAATAGCCAAAATCCAGAAGATCCAGCGGTATCCCACGCGCTCCGTCACGAACCCGAAGATGAACGGCCCGATCGGCACCCCCAGCGTCACCATCACCGCCCAGATCCCCATGTAGCGCGCGCGCTGGTGGCGGAAGAACATCTCCGTCACGACCGCGCTGCCGATCGCCATGGCCGGCGAGATGAAGAAGGCGACCAGCGCGCGGCACGCCGCCATCGAGGCGTAGTCCGGGCTGCGGGCGCAGCCGATGTTGCACACGCAGCTCAACACCAGCGACAGCAGGAAGATCGGACGGCGGCCGTAGCGGTTCGACAGCGGCTTCCACAGCAACGGGGCGCCGCCCAGGATGGCGATTTGCAGCGAGGTCAGGTAGCTGGTGCGCTGGATGCTCACCCCCAGGTCCTCAGAGATCGATTCATAGGCAGGGATAATGGCCGCCGCGGTAAACGTGCCCATGCAGGCGTGGAAGGCGACGAGGACCAGGTTCAAGGTTTTCTGCTCATTGTTATTATCCCCAGCTTTCTCTACGAGACACGGCACCAGGTGAGATGTTCTACCTTGAATGCGGGCCAGTTGTACGGATCCGCGGGGTCCATACTCGGCACCGGATCGAGTTCCAGGGTGCCATGGCGTTCGATCAGGTAGGCCTTGTGGGCTTCGGACAGTGACTCGACGGCATCGGAGACGTAGGCGGTTTTCTCGGTCGTCTCGAAGTAGTCCGAGTGTGCTTTGCCGGATAGGTCTTCCGGCGAGGAGGTCGACATTTCGATAGATGGCATGATGGGAGGATGGGGTGACAGCTCTCAGCATCGTATGAGGCCCACGTCAACCTGGGGAAGGGGAGATAAAGAGAAATCCCCCTGCCCTCGACCCCGGACCCTCCCGTTTCCCCTCCCCTCGCCTCCCCACGGGGGCGAATCCACGCCTTTCGGACCCGCAGCGGGCCAAACCCGGGGAGCAAACCACAATTAGCCGAGATAAGGACCTCTAGAACGGGCTGGATTGCCCACACGGGGTGACGTGGATCCCCCGGTCAGTGCCGCCCATTGTGATTGCCCAGCAAGCGAGCACGCGGTGGATCGGCGGTAGATAGGAGGCCGCCAACATTGCCGGTCACGCCCGCCTGGGGCTGTCAGGGTCGTTATATAATACCGTTCGACGAGGCAGCCGAGGTGGTCAGCCGTCCAGCCGAGGATGAGGGAGTTTCAACTCCCGAGCCAAACTCCCGGATGGCTGTTTTGAGCCTTAGTCGAGCTGGTCCACGTGCCAACCCCGCACGCCGAGTTTGGGATCCAAGCTTCCTTCCCAGGGCCCTTCACATTGTGTTTCGCTGCCTCGAGTCTCTCGACAGTGGTAAGGTGCCAGGCTGCCAGCTAAGTTACGGATGGCACAGCTTAGGTAGCTTGATTCAAGACTTAAGGCTTGAGGCTTGACTGTGGCGGATATTTATCCGCCCTGATGACTCAACCCTTTTCCGATGGCTTGGATCGCCACACGCACAACATGCATCGCACTGTGCAAAACGCTGCTTTGCAGCGAAGAGAAAATCAGATGCGAGTATGGAGAATGCACTACCTCTGCATCGGAGATATAAGCACAGTATATAACGTCGTTTCTTGTGGCCCTGAGGATAATGTTTCACCCGCAATTGGACCCTGCTCAACCTCGGCAATTTAAAGGTTGAAACCCCAGACGGGGTAAATCAAGTGAGATTCCGAGTCTCGGGGTCGACCTGCCGTGTTCGCTCTCAGATCCGATCGTAAACAACTTCAAACGGCCGTGTGCGACAGTCACCTGACCACACCAGACCTAACGTATCGATCGCAACGAGGCTAAAACAGTTCTCTGCTGATGGACTCAACCATCCCTCAGTACTGAGTAGCAAACCATAGAATCAACAACCTCGTATTCGACCACCACCGTGACGCCGGGTCGCGCTTGGAATGCGCCGCCCGATCGACGCAAGGGATGTGACCAAACCACAACAAAGGGCCTGTCCTGCCGCGCCCTCGACAGCTTAAATACTACGTGTCAGATAGTGAGCGCCCGCGACAGTCCACCACCGTCCTCGTTGTTCCCCAAAGAATCAGACCCTGGTGATCTCTCCAACAGCCACCGCCACCATGCTTGCCATCAAATCGTTGTCGTTGTCCCTGGGCGCGCTGCTCCTCGCAGCGGTGAGCAGCGCAATGGAATGGACCACCGTGAGTCGCGCAGACAGCCAACCCTCAACCGCACACTGACCAGACGACAGGTCGGATACGAGACCACGGAGGGGAGTCGGTCCATGCAGGTGCCTTTGAACGACTGCTGGAAGTTCTCGGAAGAGTAAGTGCGATCGATCGTCGATATCCCGAGCAGAAATTGACAGGTTACAGGGAGGTCAACACCGTGTTCTTGTCGCGGCCGTGTCGACTATTCACGTAAGCTTCACCCCGGACCAGAGAATTGAGGGAAGGTGACTGACAGCGACCAGTGCGATCGGCTGCACTGGCCGGAGTACCATGCTCAACCCAGGCCTACACACCTCCTCCGACCCGATTCCCTTCATCGACAGTATCGAGTGTTACTAGCGGCGGGGAGGATCGATCTGATGTATCATATGCACTATACACCCGTCTAATGGAAATAATTGCCAATAGCCAGCTTTGCTTTTTCTGAACCGAAGCGGAATTGTCCCGAGACGCCGACATGTTGGCTTCTCTGGCATGGGTGGATAGCTCTGCTGCGAATGCCCGGGTCGTCCTTCATGCTGTGTACCCAGCATGCAGGGTCGAAAGTTGAGGTTGCCTGATCTCTGGACCCCGTGGGGTATATAAGGTGCAGTTCTTCGTAGTCGTCGCGCAAGTCTTTCGGCCTGAGGACAGGTGACTCGGCAGTTCGGTCAAAGATGCGCATCTTCAATTCTCTCCTGCTTGCCGCCACCGTTGTGCTGGCGGCACCCCAGTCGCGTTGTCATCCAGAGACCGCACAACTTCGTCGGGAATGGTACTCCGCTCCGTGCCCAGATAGAATTTTAGGATTCTCTGACCCTTGCCAGGCAGGAATTGAAACCCCAAGAGCGGACGGACTACATCGACGCCCTGTGGTGTATGCGCAGTCGGCCTTCGCGCCTCCCTCGCGATCGATTCCCAGGGGCGCGAGATCGCATCGATGATTTTGTGATGTGAGCCGCCCACCTCCGACTCAAACTCCCAGACCAGCAAAGCACTAACACGCCGACAGCACGCACATCAACAACACCCTCGTCATCCACAACAACGGGCTCCTCCTCCCCTGGCACCGCCACTTCACCTGGCTGTGGGAGCAAGCCATCCGCGAAGAATGCGGATACACTGGCGCACAACCGTATGCCCATCCTCCCCACTGCACCACCAACCCCCCAAGCTAATCAATGCTGCAGATACTGGGACTGGCCGCTCTACACCCACAACAACCTCCTATCGAGCCCCCTCTTCGACAACTCCCCGACCTCCCTCGGCGGCAACGGCATCTACAACGCCTCGACCATCGAACACCCCGCTCTCTGCCCCGCCAACCTCGGCGGGTGTCTGCCCCCCGGCGCCGGCGGCGGATGCGTGACCGCCGGGCCCTTCGCAAACTGGACCCTGCACCTCGGCCCCTTCAGTCGCGACTTCGTGAAATCCTATGGGCCCCTCCCGCCCAATCCATGGCGCTACAACCCCAGATGTCTGAACCGGAACTTCCGACCCGAGTCGCTGCAGATCCTCAACACCCAGCAGCGCGTGGACATGTTGCTCGGAGCGCCGGACATGGACGCCTTCATGGCCGTGATGGACCCGAGTAACGCGACGTTGATCGGGTCGCATGGCGGCGGGCATGCGACGGTCGGCGGGGCGATGCTGGATGTCTTCGCCAGCCCGCACGATCCCGCCTTCTTCCTGCACCATGGCATGGTGGATCGCATGTGGACGCTGTGGCAGGAGCGGGATTTCGCGGCGCGGTGGGACGCGCTGAATGGGACGGCGGTGATCTATAACCCTCCTGACGCGCCGTTGGTGACGCTGGAGACGGTGATGGACTTTGGGGTCTTGGATCGCCAGAGGCGGATCGGAGAGGTGGTGGATTCGCGGTCGGGGAAGTATTGTTACGCTTATACTTAGCTTGTCTCGGTGACGTCCCGAATAGATAGGGCGAATTTGCTTGTTCACAGACTTGAGAGCCATGATGCCAGAGCCAGAGAGCCCTTGTATCGTCCCTGGAGTCGCGAGGGTTGATTCCATTGTTATTCAGCCTAAACAGAAGTAAACACATCATGATCAGAGAAATTGCGCGTTCCTGCTTCCCCAAGGTGATTTACACGATTTCAGCATATTCCGAACGTCAAGGCAACGGAACGATTATGCTTCCTGCTGGGATAGCATGCCGGTTTCGGTAGAGACCTCTTCTTCTCCGGGTCTCGATGGGCATGTCTCGGTTTGCCATTCTACCAGTGCGTCCGACGCATCCCTGGTATCAGGATGATCAGGGCCTAAGTGGTATCTCATCAGGCACACGCAATCGGTCATTAACTTCAAGGCCTCGGAATGTTGATTCGTGTGTTTCAAACAAAATGCAAGGTTGCTCATGCTGGTCTATTAAAGGATGCTCGGGGCTCAGCAATTTCAACTGGCTGTACAATACTTGTGTGTGGAGCTCTTTGGCTTCTTCCCATTGACCCTGTTGCCCGCATGCGGTTGCGAGGTGTTGCATGCCCATCAATGTCTCAAAATCTTCAGCTCCTAGTTCTCTCTTGGAACTCTCCACAATATGTCTACCCAGCTGTGCGGCCTCTTTCAAGCGGCCTTGTTGCTGGTAGATCGGAGAAAGTTGACCCATGCTCTGCAACGTTGCAGGATGCTCGGGGCCTGAAATTGCGATGTTCGCCTCCGTTATTTGTACTTGAATCTCTTCGGCTTCTCTCCATTGCTTTTTGTTTTGATATATGCGCGAGAGATAGTCCATGCTGGTTAACGTAATTCGATGTCTAGGGCCTAGTGCGGTCTTGCAGGTATTCAGCACCTGAAGTTGTAGTCTTTCAGCTTCCTCGCATCGATCCTGGCTCAGGTATATATTGGCGAGGTCGGCTGTGGTGCTCAGGGTCTCACGGTGTTCGCGGCCTAATTTTCTCTCCTGGATATCCTTTACTCTCGACATACAGAACTCAGCCTCTTCCCATTCCGCAGCCTGTGCGTGCACAACGCCTATTATCTTAGTGGCCTGAGACGTTATAAGATGATCTGGACCAAGTAGCTCCCTGCATGCTCTTTCAGTCTTCCTTGCTAAGTGTTTTGCTTCTGGTAGGTTCCATTTGTCACATGCATACCACGCTGCCCTATACATGAGTCCAGCCCACTTTTTTAAAGAGTCTTTTGTACCGGGTGGTTGAGTTGCGGCCATTCGTATATGCGGAAGAAATATCTGCAAAGTCCCCCAGTTCTCGTAATCACTTGTTGGTGAGGCATTGCTGAGAATATCGATGAAACGTTCCCTCCACTTCTGAAACTGTCCTTGGATTTCAAGCCACTTGAGTGTTGCAAGTTGTACCAGCCGATGCATCTCGAAAACATCTACTCCTGTTATGGAGATGAACGAATAGTCTCTCAATGTCAGGACATCGACGTCGAATTGGTCATCGTGACTGGATGTACTATCTTCATCACTCAGGTTTGCCAGGCCCTTCTCCCGTAGATCTAGCTTATGGTTGTCTTCGTCTTCTTGATGTCGGAGTAAGGCTTCAGGAATCCCCTGTCTGTCAAAAAAGCTCATCAGTGACAACAGGTCTGCTGCCGAAGGCCTGGCTCGCCGCAGGTGATCGAAGGTTATCTGCCATGTGATCATGATCGAGTTATGCGCTTCTTGGTCTCGACGAAGGTGGCCCCCTTCGTGATCCAAAAGACTCAATTTCTTGCGATCACTCTTCTGGAATAGTTGCAAATAATGTGACACTGAAAAGCGTGGCAAGCGGTATCTGATGTAGCTTGCGGCTTGCACGATCGCAAGCGGCATGTACTCCAGGGCGGCCATAAGCTCATCCACCTCATCACCAGTACAGTCCTCTCGAACATCAAGCTTCTTCTGAAAGAGCAGTCGCGCATCCGTCTTGTGCATCGGTGCAATCGTGATGATATCCCTTGGCTCAACAATCCGCGCCGCCACCGCTGCGCTGCGACTGGTGATGATGATGGAACCATGGGGGCTCTGAGGAATATACTCCAAAAGTACTTTTCCAGTTGTACTACCTGAGTCACTAGGAGCAGCCTTGTTCAGAAACTCATCGTCATCGACATTGTCTAGGACAAGAGTCCATTTGGCCCTCTTCTCATCGTTGAGCCAGCCCCCAACAAGCTGGAAGATATTGGCCTTGGGATCTTTGCGACCGGGGATTCTGACACGGTCGGCAATTTCCTGGAAGCCCTGCTCGAATCGAGCAGCATTACTCGTGTGTACCCAGAAGACCCACGTGCTCGGGAAATTCTCGCGGACTCGGTAACAGTATTCGATGGCAAGTTGCGATTTCCTCCGAGGAATCAGTAACGCTGTCAGTCTTCCATGGGTTATGAGGACCTACCCAACGCCACCGAGGCCGACAAGCGCGATTCGAGAAGCAGGAGCGGAGCACTTTTCACGGATCTGGTCGAGAAGTGTGCCGCGATCAACAAAGTCTGGATCGCGACGGAACGGAACGGTAGAGAGTGGATGGGGCGGTGTTTCGGGCCGTTCTGTGGAGAAATCTTGTCAGTGGATGCAATGGAACTAAAAGGACAACTAAAAAAACTTGGTTGAACTCAGCTAGCCACAGCTAGCTCGCGACTGTTGCGGCGATGGCCTTCCGATGATACTTTGGTGGTGAGACCAAGAGGAAAGCCAAGAAGGAGATGGGAGCTGAGAGGAAGCACTGGCTGCGGGCGCCTTCACATTAGGGGAGGTGCCACAGGCACCGTGGACCGTAGACCGTGGACCTGACTGCAGCGGGAGCAACTTACCCGGTGGAACATGAAGCTGAGCGGTGATCCCACCGTTGTTGTTCGCAACCTGGAGACCAAAGTTGGAACCATCAAACTTTACTGATGACATAGTTGGTTCCATCTCGACCACTAAACCAGATAATAACTGAGGTGGGAAGTAGTAGTTTGCTAGCCTCGGCTGGTGGCTGGACTAGACCATCAGGTGACTGGTGCCTTGGGCACAAGTCTCCGCGTCAGCAGAGCCATAGTGCCATAGTGTTTGTTTGCTATCAAGCGGTCGTCTCAGAGACCCTGGCTACCAAGAAATCAATTAATTCCAGGTTGCAGCAATCCATGCCTGTCAATTGCCTGGTTATGAAGATACTTGCAGAATGCATCAATCAATTAATCAACTATCACATCGCTGGTATCACGCGCATATAATCACAAAGCGCTCTAGAAGCTTTCGCAGTGCACTCCCGCTTACTCGTTCTCGTCGACCCCGATAACAGTCGTCTTGAACTTCCGAGCCGGAACCTTGCGGTTGAACAGGATATCGGTTTCACGGTACGTGCGGTGCTTCAACTCGGGCAAAAAGAAGTAGGCCACAATCCAGCACACGCAGGCAGTACCGCCCCAGACGTAACCGCACTTGCCCGCCAGGTTCCATCCGGTGGTGTTGAGCATCTTCGAGGCCAGGTAGATCATGGGGATTTCCACCACATAGTAGGCAGCACGACCGACAGCGGTGCTCAGCGCACGGAGGCGGATGGAGGAGGTCTCGGAAATGATGGTGTAGGAGATCGGTCCGAGAGTACCCGCGAAAATGAAGGAGATGAGAATTCCGAGAGAGGCCTGGGCGATGTTGGTGTGGTTGTTCTGTTCCACCGAGGCGACGATACCAAGAATAAAGAGCAAAGCGATGTTGGTTGCAGTGCCCCAGAGGTAGACCGTGCGGCGTCCGAACCAGGCGGTTACAACCCAGGAAAGGCCGTTGGCGACGAGTTGGAGGCACGAGTTGACCAGGTTAAGCTGGAAAGCACGCTCGGACGACATGCCAGCCTCTAAGCAGTTTATCAGCCGTGAAATTCTTCACATCCTTGGTTTCGGGAACTGTGAGATTACTCACGCTCGAAGAAAAAGGTTGCTTGGTTGGCAATCAAATTCCCAGCCAGGTTCTGCCCCCCATATACAAGGCACGTGATCACCGTTCTCCTTAGGTCAGTACCCTTGAAAAGGTCGAGAAGCGTCGGGTCCCCGCCTTGCTCCTTTTCAATCTTGACGGTACGCTCCATCATGGCCAAAGCCTGGTGGGCCTCCTCTTCCTTCTCCTTACCGAGGCGCTTGATGGAACGAAGAGCCTCCTCCCGACGCCCACGACGAATCAACCACCAAGGCGACTCGGGGGCAAGGAAAACCAGGATTAGGAGAGGTGTCTAAAAGGGTCAGCTTGAGTTGGTGGAACAAAAGCAAGGGTTGACTGACCGGGAACATCCACTGCAAGGCCAGGGGCGCTTTCCAGGCCCACTCATTCTCATACTTGTTGTAGCTGTAGGTAGCACCGGCGACAATGATCGAACCGATGGACCAAGACATCTGCAAAGTCGCGGTACATGCACCTCGCAGAGCGAGGGGCACAACTTCACTGGCATAGGCCGGGGAGTTGGCGATAAAGAAACCCCATGGGACACCTTCCAAAGCTTGACCCACGGTCAGAAGGGCGAGTGAGTTGGCCTAATTGAATTGCGTCAGACGGTAGCTCCGAGGGAGAATAGAGAACAACTCACAAAGAAGGAGACGAAGATAGTGGCGTTCATGAGAATCAGGCCAATGATGGTCGTCCATCTGTATCCTATCCGACTTGTTATAGGACCGGCTAAAAAGACGCCGACAAATGCGCCACATTGGCCAGCCTGGAACAGGGCACTCTGCCACCGAGTCGGGATGACCTTGTCACTCGATCCCGCCACGGAAACACCAAACTTTTGTTGGAATGCATCGAGGGCGACAAAGTTACCGTTCAGGAACATGTCGAATGATTCCATGACCTACTTGCATTAGCGGCGATCCGGCAATCATCGACCGAAGATCAGCTCACAATAGTGAAACACATGATGAAAGCCCACAAGCAAGCCCAGGGGTGCGTCTTGGCCGCCTCCCACACGCCCATTTCATGCTCGCGGTTTTCGGCATCGAATGCCTCTCTCATGAGCTCAGAGTTCTGCTTGAGCTCGACATGATCAACGTCGACGTGCTCCCCTTGGAGCTCCCCCTTGGATTTCTCATAGTCGGTCGACATACTGCAAGCGCGGATAATGCCAAAGTGCCACACGGAAGGAGAGAAAGCCAAGCCGGGAAAAAGGGTAAGTACCGGGTCTTATAGTTTCGGCGGCCTGCACGCCTCCCAGCCTGAGGTTGCATTCACAGCCAGGGGAGCTAGTCTGTGTTTGCCCGCCGGGGTTTTGCCAGTTTTCCCGACGCAGGAAGCGAGCATCTTCGGTGAGACGACAGGGGAGCGTTACCCGAAGCAGGCAGACGCCGAGACAACAGGGTTCGATTGGAAGGGGAGGTGGTTGTGGCGTGCGAAATCCGGAGCTAAAGGGTTGGTGGCGTTCTAGCGAACCAGTCGCAAGGGAGAGGGAAATCAACTGAAATTGGATGGACTGATGCGAGGGCCAGGCGTGAGACTGTGAGGATGGGTAACCCCGCGGGGGATTAGCCTTCTGTGGATAAATCTCAATCCGGGTATGCGGGGCCCCAGGGCCAAACTGGGATAAGCCTGGAACTGTGGGTGCTTGGGTGTCGGGTCATTCTTTGCGGGGATGGAAACTGTGTCCGAGACATTTCACATCGGTTGGTTCAAAATGTTCCACGCAACCTGGCTTGCGGAGAGCCAATGGACTGATAAGAACATGGTGATTGAGTGAGAATCGAGAAAGAAAGTGGGAATCGAGCCCACCCCCAGGAATCCCGCGTTTTCCCCCGCAGCCGCAGTCTGCACCCAGGTCAGGTGACCTCAGACGGCAGAATCCTTATCCAAGCATCGGGAAAGTTAGGCGGTGGACGCATGGCGAAGCTTGAGCGAAATTGCCTTCGTGCGTTGGCTGGTGGAAGATTGAGGCGACAGATTGTGGCTGTTCCTTAGCGGGATTTGGGAATTTTCGCACCTATCGAAGAGGACGATTTGGACAAGACGTTGCAGCCGAGAGAAGCTTGCTGCACATGGTCGCCGCATGCGGTCTCGACCTGATGCATCCGAGCCTGTCCGAGCCCGATCAGGATCTACCCATCTCGTGGCGGTCAGCTTTAATATCCAGAGAGAGATTCATTCGTGCTATACGCCAACAGGTGGGGTGACTCGCGTGTGTGTTGTTTCTGTTCTGATGACAGGTCCACGGTTTAATATGCATAGAGAACTGTAAGTGGTTGCTTGCCATGGTAGAGCTTCGGTTACAGAGCAAGCTTCCTCCGAGCAGGGAAGAAGTACCCGAAGGGAGGAAGGCGCGGGTCACTGTACAGCTCCTGTCCGGCTTTCAAGTGAGCTTCCTTGTTCGGTCCAAGGCTTAGCTATCCATGATGTGCTGGGCAGCCGAGCTGTTCCCAACCATGGCTCAGCCGACGGTGTCGGGAACCGTTACTCCAGATCACATGCTTCCTTTGGAGACAGATAGTTAGCCCGGATGATGACACCACCCCGGCCATATGACCCGGCCATTGCAGCCTGTTCACTCTCCATGCACGGTCTACTAGGATCATTACTCGCAACGCAACATACCTCCGACCAGATGGCCTGATCACTCAGAGGATGAATACATGCAGAACCCGATCCCTCTATGGGGGACTGCAACACAGAAGATGTTGACAGACAGAAACGCATGGATATTCGAGGTCTCAACCGCTAAAAATCCTGAAGACTTAGGCAAAAACGAGCTAAAGCAACACTCGCAACGCAAGCTGTAGTACAGACTACATCAAGTATCCAAGGCTACAACGAACCGATCCAGAACGCCACTCCGGTCCGTTATAGCAAGGATCTCATTATATCGAGATTGCCATCCACTCAGTACGTAATACCACCACATCCTGAGCGCCATCAACACACTAACACTAACTCCGAGCTTTTTTTTTTTTTTTTTTTTTTTTTTTTTTTTTTTTTTTTTTTTTTTTTTTTTTTTTTTTTTTTTTCCCCCCCCCTCCCCCCCCCCCCCCCCCCCCTTGCCCGCCTTCCTTCTTACCAACAACAACGGTACCACGACTCTCACCCCTTGCACCTTGCAGGGATTATGACAGCCACACTACACATCCAGATAAGCAAAGATCTGCGCTACAAGACAACGACTCGCTACCCCCGGCGCACCAGGCACATTCGGACAGCACGAAACACACGGCAGCCCTTCGTCGCTGAAGCCGCCGGATAAGGGAAGCAGATCTCGCCGGGGCCGCGCTGGGCTGTTGCTGTCGCTGCCAGCCAGACGCCGGGATAAAGGGACCGGGAGTGCATCGTCGATTGGTTTTATAACATGGATGTGTGGAAACGGGCCTTGACAGGTGATGTCCAGCAGGCGATGTGCAAGTCAAATGCGCTGGACGAGGTGGGATTTATGGAGTCCGTAGTGCCTTGGAAGACTTGATTGGGGATAGTCATCACCAACATCATTCTCGTTGGGGTATCAGTGGTTGGGACTGAGTCCCTATGCTTGGGATTTTTCTGGGTGTTGGTATGGCAAGGCACCACGGGGTTGAAACCTCGGTTGAAATTGGGGAGGCGCTCGAGGAGGCCGCGGTTTATGCTGACCAAAATCACAGGATACGGTGGGTGAGGTCTGGAGCTGGCATTTGGCAGCGATTGCAGCGATTGCAGCGATTGCAGCAGAGTTCAATGCCGACTCGTATATAAAACGATCGTAGATAAAAGCCCTACGGAGTCCTAAAGAATAGAGAAACAGTCAAGATACGAATAGAAGACGCAGTAAGAGTCATTGGAGGGGGGCATCACGGCCCTCTGTCTAAGCAGTATCTTGTCATTGACCCAGCGAACGCAATTTTTTTTTAATTGCGTACAATCCCTGTCAAGCTCAATTACAGCTTGCTAAGACTTTTATTGGCATTTGCGGTTCAGCTAGTCAGCAGAGGTACACAATAGCACCGTTCTATTGGTAGGCTCTTGGTTAAATTGATATTATATGCATTATAGCATCCTAGAGATATATATTTCTCCAAAAAGTAAGCTACAACCTATACCACACCCGCCTCATACTTCCGACTGCTCCCAAGAGACCAGATGTGACTCGCCCAACACACCCTTAATCACCAGCACCAGCTCGTCCACTGTACTCAGGAACTTAACGTAGGCACTCACCCCCACGCAGTACCGACGATAATCCTCCTCCCGCAGCATCTCCGGCGACAGCAGAGTATCCATCGCGTGCGCGTGCCAGTACTCCATGGACCGCTGCATCAGCGGGGTGGGCAAGAGCTCCGGTGGAGCATCACCTGTTTTCAGCGCTTGCTCGCAGACGCTCAGCACGGCCATGATCTCGCCGATACAGCGATGGTCCAGCAGCCCTGTCATCCGCGCGAGGCGGTCTTGGTATTCCTGCGGCAAGGACGCGGAGAGGGAGAGCAGCCGCCCGAGGTTCCGGTTCAACCCGTGACAGAGGAGCTTGACTTGGTCCATGCTCGAGCTGTCGAACCGCGAGCTGGAAAATTCGTACCGCAGAAGCTGGATGGGCCCGTTGAGCAGCACGAGGGACTCGGCCATCTGGAGGGAGATTGGCTCGGCGAGGATGCGACCGTCTTCTTGGCCTCGGCCCCAGCAGGACAGGAGGAGTGCGTAATGATCTGAGATGGCGCGGATAGACGTGGACAGGGTCTTGCTGATATGCTTCGCAGCGGAGGGAGGATGCGGGAACAGCTGAGCTACCGTTCCCACGCCGACGCCGATCAGGACTAGAAGCAGTCGGCGCCAGAAGACGGTATATCCGACGCCTGGATTGCCATAGGTTGGGATATGGCTGCATGAATAGTCAGAGTCAATCACGGCAGGACAAGGGCTTTGCGACTTGGAGGGTACTTACGTATCGTCGTAGCTGTACGCAACAACAAGCAAAAACGTAGCACCTCCCATGATGCTCCCCTGTAGGAGGCTGGGAGGCAGAAAAAGACGCGACCAAAGGAAAATTACAAGCATCACAGCCATGATAGCCGCTAGTCCATAGGGACTGCCCGGTCCATTGCCTGAACCGATATACCATGCTAGCAAGCCCAAGAGGCCGCCAACAACGGTTCCTATAACGCGCGCAATGACAGAAAATAAGTAATCAGCCATGTACGGCAAGAGACCTGTCTGCGCCATGATCAAAGCCCAAAGACCTTTCTCGCGATAGAAGAAGCCCGCCGTACTGGGTAGAGCAGAAATAATCCCAATGGCAATAGTGACCACGACCATACGTAAAGCGTAGAGTCCTTCTGCTGATGTGAACCAGTGGTACGTGCCCAGAATAATGCGACTAGGAAGACCGCGGCGCTTGACGCGGTATCCACGACTCAGCCGCAATCTTTCTTGCACTGATTTGGTTGCGTCGGCCTGTTCTTCTGGATCGTCGTCTGCGACTTGAGCCATGGCAGGGGCTTTGTTGCCCTTGCCTGACACCCAGGATACAAACGCTTTGAGGCTCAATGGCCACCACACTCGTGTTCGCTGGGAGCTCTGGAAGATGTTCAGCACTTGATTCAGTAAGGACTCGGTTTTATCCATTGCGTTGGCTATGAGTTCCTCGAACACCATCCCAACTACAATGCCTCCAAAGTTCTTGGCGTGACGGTCAGCGTCCTCACCCGGTCTCCCGTCCATTAGCGGCCCGTAGCAGCTAACCAGCGACTCTGTTGTGTTACGAATAAAGGTTTGGCGCACTGCGCGAAGATCTTCGAGAGCCTGGCGGCTCCGCTGGCACAATTCCTCCCGCGCCGAGGGCGAAGAGCGCCGAAACCACGGTCGGCCTTTTGCCATGTGAATGCAATCCTTCGCAGCCCCCAGCGCAGCCACACATGCTTCAATAGCCTTTGAAGCAGCGCTCACGAATGCCTGAAGGGTTTCCTCCGGGATAGGTCCGCTGTCGGAATTGCGCAGGCCATCTAGCAAACGCGCCATTTGCTGCAGCTGGTGGCGTCCCACCTCGCGCGAAGGCTTGGCCTTTTCATCTTGCGACACAATTTGGTCTGCATACTTTTGTAGGACTTCTCGTGCGCGAGCCTTGCCGGAGACGCGGTTCATGTGAAACTCGAGCAAGGAGAGAATGG